TAGGGGGTTTTGACTTCGCTTGAGGGGGTTTGACACATTGACCATGAATTTGCTTTTGCCAGCTGAAAATGTGGTATAAATAAATAGGTACTAAGAGATAGTGCACTCTAAAAAGAGGGTATCTTCTAATAAATAAAGTTAAATAAATGTAAAATCAATTTAAAATTAGTTATTTGAGACAAATAAATAAAATGGTTTATCTATTTTCCAAATAAGTTAGAACCACTTTTGGTAGAGATAACTTATAAAAACAATATAATTGTTAAAAATATAACATTTGACCATAAATACCATGGTACAAGTTTAAATTATAGTTTTTATGAAATTTTATTTATTTAAATTTTTTTCTGTGCATACGAAGGTGGCTTTACACTGCACGTGGGCAAACGGAAAATTTTTATATCCTGTCAGCTTGAAAATGTTTTCCGCTTTTTAGCATGAACTGGGCTTAAAATCATTTATCATAATTATTAAGCAAACAAACAGCTTTAGGACTTGTCAATACGACCAGCAAATTCAATTAAGTCATGAAAAGTGAACCCCAATAACGAGAGAGAGAAAACCAAATGAAAAAAGAATAAGAAAGCGAGAGAGCAGCGAGCAATTTCCACGAATTGCTCCATTAATAACACTAGAATTAACCGAAAGGTTACTAAAAGTCAAGGCCACCAACGAAATTCGACACATGCCCGGTCGAGGAGCAACAACGCGAAAGAAAAGCAAGGAAAGAGAAAGGCTGATGGATTTGCCGCAGCAGGAGCGATAGAGACGGCGAGCTAGCACATTGACAAAGTGCTAATGCGTGTGAGAGTTATGTGCGAAATTTATGGGCCCATTTCTATTGGAGGTGGTAGCAATCAACTTGGTTAACAGCCCACTACGCCTGCCAACACCCGAACCGAACTTAATGGCTGTAAGGAAACATTTGGGGCCGAAAAGGAGGGGAAAAGCCCGAGGAAAAACGAGCCAAGTTTGGGAGAAATATTTGAAATGTTTTTTCTCTGCCGGCTAAAACGCTTAATTAAATTTGTTGCTGGCCCCAAAATACGTAAAGGAGAATAGCCGAGTATAAACAACAACGGAAACTAATGGTCTCGTTTGCTCAAGGTTAAGGTCGCTTCTGCTAGTTAACAAGTGTGCCTGTGAATCCATGGGATTGTGGGGCTATTTGCTTGGGATTATGTTGGACTAACAACATAATTAATGTGGTCTACAGAGAAGTGCAAAAAAGGGAAAAATGTAAAGACAAATATGTCGGAGTTCTTGGAATAATTTAAATTATAGAAGCCGTTGCTTTTTGGCGGGTATCAAAGCTGATTTCATAATTCCTAGAAGGCGACCTATTCCTAGAATACAAAGTATTAGTTCTCTCTTGAGAGCGAGAGCGCAATATTAGCGAGACGGTGTTGCCAGACCTTCTGAAATGGCAAAACCGTCGAGTGTGGCCCGGTTGCGCAAGAGCGAGAAAGGAGTTGAGTGAGAGGGAAGATGAGCTCGGAGCGAGAGGCGTTCTGGTTGCACAGGCACTTCGATTTGAACTCTTGCCGCGATCGGGACTCACTTCGCGAATTCAAATGAATAACCCGGAGAATGGCTGTTCTCCGATATCAGAAGTGGGATCGGCCCTGCCCCAAGACAGTACAAGTGTTATGGCTGCATTGGAGGCCCAGAATCGTGCTTTGATGGAGCTTGTGAAAAAAATGAACACAGCAAGTGCGCCGGTATCGGAAGTGAAAAATACTGCAATAATGTTGCCAAAATTCGATCCTGATAGTGCAGGCGCTGATGCAAGTGCGTGGTGTAATACCGTCGAATTAATTTTCGCTGAGCACATGCTCACAGGAAGTGCTCTTGTCATGGCCCTAAGCAAAGCTATGCTAGGAAGTGCGTCACAGTGGTTAGCGCAAATTTGTTTCAGTGGCATGACCTGGCCGCAATTCCAGGAATTGTTCGTGCAACGATTCGTCGGAATTGAGACCCCGGCTGCAACCCTGATGAACGTTTTGAATGGGCGCCCTAACCCAGGAGAGAATATTCCCGAATACGGTAGCCGCCTTGTGACGTCTCTTATGTCTAAATTCAAATCTATTGAACTGGAAGAACTCATCGTGTCCATCGTTTTGACACACCTTTCCAACTTGGATCCTCGCCTTTTGAAATCGATGTTTACGGGTACCGTTAAAACCCGCAACGATCTACAACAACAGCTAAAGGCGCATGTATATGCAAGGCGAAGCGAATCTGTGGGTGGCAACGAAGTCGATAGGAAGAAGATGAAGATGCCATCTCAAGTTAAGTGTCATCACTGTGGGCGAATTGGGCATAAAATCGCCGACTGTCTCAAACGGCGAAATGAAGACCGACACCGGACCAGCGTAGCTCCAGGACAAAAGCCTCGTCCACACAACAACAGGACTTGCTTCAAATGCGGGGAGCTGGGACATTACGCTTCGGAGTGCCCAAAGAATCGTCATAACCAGCAAGATGTCGACGCTGGGAAACGTGTGAACTTGGTGGCTATAGAACCTAAGGGCATTCTTAAACAATTTGGTGAGTCCATTCCATTTTGTTTCGATTCTGGCGCTGAATGTTCTCTTGTAAAGGAAAGCGTAGCGGCGAAGTTACAAGGAAAACGTCTATCTAACTCAGTGGTTTTAAGGGGTATTGGGAGTGAGCCTGTATGGAGTACAACTCAGATCCTTTGTAATGTTAATATTAACGAACATTTTGTAGAAATAATGCTTCATGTTATTTTGGATAAGTTTCTTAATTTTGATATTCTTATTGGACGAGAGATTTTAAGTCAAGGCTTTGGTGTTGTAATCGAAGCAAATAAATTCGAAATTTATAAATCGAAAATTGTGCAAGCGCTGTCGTACGATTCAAGTTTGGAAAATCGTTTCAATTTCAATAAAGATTTAAATGGGTTAGAAAAAGAAAGATTAACCGAAATATTGGGAAAATATTCTAAGTCGTTTATTGAAGGCATTCCACACACACGAGTCACAACAGGTCTACTTAGTATACGTCTTAGTGATCCGCATAAAACTGTTCAGCGTCGCCCATATAGGCTAGGTGAAGAAGAAAAGGCCAATGTAAGACGAATGATAGACGAATTGTTGTCCGCCAATGTTATACGCCCGAGTAGTTCCCCCTTTGCTAGCCCGATGATGCTGGTCAAAAAGAAGAACGGTACAGATCGCTTATGCGTGGACTACAGGGAATTAAACTCAAATACCGTGGCGGATAAATATCCTTTACCACTCATTTCTGATCAAATTGCTCGTATGCGGGGAGCCATGTTCTTTTCATGTTTAGATATGGCGAGCGGCTTTTATCAAATTCCAATTAGCCCTGACTCGATCGAACGTACCGCATTTGTAACGCCCGAGGGGCAGTATGAATTCCTCGCAATGCCGTTTGGGCTTAAAAACGCGCCATCGGTGTTTCAACGCGCAATAATGAAGGCGTTGGGATCGCTAGCCCATTCATTTGTCATCGTTTACATTGATGACGTTTTGATAGCCGCAGAAACAAAAGAACAGGCAATGGAAAGACTAGATCAAGTACTACAAATCTTAATGGAAGCAGGTTTCTCCTTTAATATAAACAAGTGTACGTTCCTGACTCAGCAAATAGACTATTTAGGGTATGAAGTTAGTGCGGGAGAAATTCGACCAAACAGTCGGAAAATAAAGGCTCTTGTAGAACTACCCCCTCCGCAAACGGTATCGCAGTTAAGGCAATTTATCGGATTAGCTTCCTACTTTCGCCAATTCGTGCCAAAATTCTCAGAAATGTTAAAACCGTTGTTTCTATTAACTTCACAAAAATGCAAGGAATTGGCTTGGCAAAGCGAACATGAAACACTGAGGCAGAAAGTAATAGCAATTTTAACTAGTACACCAGTATTGACTATCTTTGATCCCAAACATCCCGTAGAGTTGCACACAGATGCAAGTATGATTGGTTACGGGGCCATTTTGTTACACAGGATAGACAAGAAGCCGCATGTCATCGAGTACTTTAGCAAATGTACAACGCCAGTGGAGTCAAAATATCATTCTTACGAATTAGAAACCCTTGCTGTTGTAAACGCAGTAAAGCACTTTAGGCATTATCTACAAGGTCTAGAATTTGTCATCTTTACAGACTGCGATTCATTAAGGGCAAGCCGTTCCAAAACAACATTGTCACCTAGGGTACATCGGTGGTGGGGATACACTCATAGAAATTTTTACCTAAATACTAGAAAAGTCGCCCTAAAACCGAGGTCGCCCTAAAACTACGAAAAATTTTCTTATTATACGGGTGGCTAGCCCTAAAGTTACGAAAAATCGCCATGGAAAATATTTTTTAGGGTTAGTTTTTCCAAAAAGGCCAATTTGCCCTGTTTTTTAGGGCGAATTTTCATGAGTCGACTCCAAAAGTAATTCCTTATTTTTAGGGCGAAATCGCCTTAAAACGTTGAACAAAATAGCAAAAAAAATGTTCTGAAATTGCCCTAAAAACAAGGAAGAGTCAAACGAAATTTTAAGACGCAATTAATGGATACATATGTAATACATGTGTGTATGTGTGTGTGGTTGACAGGTCAAAACAAGTGAATGTGTGTGTATATTAGGGCGGACCTTTTTGTATGAATTTTGATGCTGAGCGCATTTGACTTTAGAGAAGTCCACCCTTTTTCTTCTTCTTTGCTACTTTCGTCCGTTGCAGTGGCAAGGGTGGGGGTAGAAAGAGTTGCATTGTCTAGACTTTGTCATAATTTTTCGGGCGCTTGGCGGCGAAAGACGTGTTTGTGAAAAAGTGAAAAATGTAAACGCTATTAAAGGACTTGGGAGGCGATTCTTTCTCTGTTTTCTGGTGAGTACATACATATATAATTGTGCAATTTGGATATTAATAACTAATTGAATTTACATATCTGTAACAGAGGAAAATGCAGCTGAAACTTAAAAAGATTTGACTGGAAGCAGCGGTCCAGATGTAGAGTTTTAGAAGTGTGGCAGAACAAAGTAAGAACATTAATAAGAGTATACATATACATATGTATGTGTATATGTAAATAATGCTTGAGGTAAAAAAATGATGCAACAGAATATACACATGTATACAGATGTATATATTTACCAGAAATCTGTATTTATGCACCGGACAAACCGCATTCACAAGTGCATATGCCAAAATAACCCCCAAATTTCTATTGCGCCATTTCGTCAGTAACCGAAATTTGCTTTTGTTGCTTCTTTTTTTCCAGAAGTAGCAGCAAACGCAATCGCAGGCTAAATGAAAATTCTGACTGTTAGTAGTGCATTTTTATATTAATTTCTAACAATTTTATTTCTTGTTTTAGATTGAGAACGTCTTTGAGATCCAGCTTCCGCAAACCACTTTTCGCACTTTTTAAAAGCGAAAGTAAGGGAATAAAACTGCTCAAATCTTTGGAAAGCCACGCTGAAGGTATGTGCTTTTTCTCTTTTTCTTTTCTCATTCAATAAATAGACTGTTTTTATTTAATAGAGATACAATCAACTTTAATTTGGCTTGCGATCCATTCAGTGTTGGTGCGACAGCAATGACAAAAAAGGACGGCGGGAGCAAGAACGCGAAGCACACCATTGCGGACCCGCGAAGCCGTTTCTTGGTTTGGAAGGCTACTGTTGGGGAACTGCAAACACATCTAAAGGCATTGACGGAAAATTGCTAATCCGGAAAGCCGAAACTGCAACCATTCAGCTGCAACGTGGGAACAAGCCCTTTTTGACCTTGGTGAATTTCCAGTTTACCTATCAGAGGTTTATTTATAGAATGCCAACCTTATTGAAAAGTATTGATGTGTGCTTCAAAATATTTTTTGTTTTAAACCACGACATTTATCCAAAAAATGTTTTATGAAATTCATTTAGAGTCTGATAAGAAAGGTAAAGCTTTATCCGAACTCTTGAAGGATTATAAAACCTTAAAACTGTAACTATTTTAAAGAAACAATCTGTTCATTCCAAAAAAAATATTATTTCTATGCATTCAATTAGAAGTAAAATTTGATAATCAGTACTTATTGTAATAAACCTTAAAAGACCTAAAATTCCCTCCGGCGGAAGCACAAAACCTAAGGACCAAAAAATATATTAAGCCAAAACATTATTTTTAAGATCGATGTAATTCTTTTAGCAATAAGAATAAGTAGAAAAGTATGTAAATTTATATAATTAGAAATTGTGTAAATAACAACAAACAAAAATATAAAAAAAACAAAAAAAATATAATGAAATCGTATTTTTATTTATGAAAAAAAGCCGGGAAATTTTGGGGAGCACTTTGCTTTTTTTAGGGCAATTCGCCTATAAATCCAGAAAAACGCCCTAAATTTATAAAAATCTGCCTTTAGTTTCAGGATATTTTTTCATATTTCTAGGGCAATTTGCCCTAAAATCCAGAAAAACACCCTAGATTTATGAAAATCTGCCTTTAGTTTAAAGGTATTTTTTCCGATTTCCAGGGCAATTCGCCTAAAGGTCCAGAAAAATCGCCCTGGATTTAAAGGAAACTGCCTTTAGTGTAAGGGTCTCATTTCCTATTTTTAGGGCAATTAGCTTTGAAAATAGAAAAATCGCCCTAGATCTACGAAAAATCGCCCTAAATGTGTGACAAATTCACCCGAATTTTTAGGGCAATTTGCCCTAATTTTGTTGCCTAGTCGCCATTGACCCCCGTTTTAGGGCGATTTTCCTTGTTTTTAGGGCGATTTTACCGAAACATTTCTATGAGTGTACTTGCAAGCTTTTCAATTTCGCATTGAGTATAGGAAAGGGGAGAGAATGGCTCATGCTGATTTTCTAAGTCGTAATCCACTTCCCGCTGAAAAGAATACACAATTAGAAAAGGTAGTCGAAAAGCGAGTTAATCTGACGGAGGTCTCTGACAATTGGTTACTTGCCGAGCAGCAACGCGACCCAGAAGTATCGGAAATAATTGAAAAATTACAAAATAGTGAGTTGGAGGAAGAATTACTTAGAACTTACGAGTTGAGGAGGGGCATGCTTCATCGAAAAATTCAACGGAACGGTAGAACACGATGCTTACCCGTAATACCCAGAGCTTACAGATGGGCTGTTATAAACCATGTCCACGAAGCTGTAATGCATTTAGGTTGGGAAAAGACATTAGACAAAGTATATGCGCACTATTGGTTCGCCAATATGTCAAAATATGTAAGGCGTTTTGTGGAAAATTGTATTACTTGCAAACTATCTAAGGCGCCAAAAGGAAAAGTGCAGGCTGAGCTTCATCCAATTCCAAAAGTTGCTATTCCCTGGCATACGTTGCACATCGACATTACAGGAAAGCTTAGCGGCAAGAACGATCAAAAGGAATACGTGATTGTTATTATAGATGCTTTTACAAAATTCGTGTACTTGTATCATACGTTTAACTTAGACGCGGAAAGCTGTGTAAGAGCCATGAAAACTGTTGTGTCGTTGTTTGGTTTGCCTATGCGCGTAATTGCCGATCAGGGTAGGTCATTCGCCAGTTCAGGGTTTCGAGAGTTTTGTACTTCGCAAAAGATTGATCTTCATTTGATTGCTACTGGTGCTAGTCGAGCTAACGGACAGGTTGAGCGAGTTATGGGGACACTTAAAAGTATGCTAACTGCAGTCGAAACAAGTCAACGGTCCTGGCAAGACGCGCTACTAGAAGTCCAATTAGCGGTGAACAGCACTGCACATCGAGTGACCAAAATAAGCCCCTTGGAGTTGATGATCGGCAGGGAGGGTAGACCATTTGGTTTGTTGCCCATCTCTGAAGATGAGGAAATAATAGACAGGGATAAAGCTAGGGTGCAAGCCAAGGAAAATATTGATCGTAACGCACAGTATGACAAAAAAAGATTCGATAAAAGCAAGGCTAAAATTGTAAAGCACCAAGTTGGTGACTATGTTTTGATAAGGAATGAAGAGAGAAACCAAACAAAACTCGATCCGAAATTTAAGGGTCCTTTTGAAATAATTGAAGTTTTAGAGGGTGACCGATATAAGTTAAAGTCTCTAACAAGTAAGCGTCAATATAAGTATGCACATGAACACCTGCGTTCCTTGCCGAATATAGATGTACTGGCAGAGATTGATGAAGGATTTGATAAGGCAATTGATGAAGATGGTCAGACCCAAAGTGGGCAAAAATGAATTGTAAGAACAAGTAATGTTGTATGTAAGGCTGCACCGAGATCCTGTGTGGATGTACGGCGGGAGTCTGTGTAATGCTGCACCATGATCCTGTGTGGATGCTTGGCGGGAGCTTATGTGAGGCTGCACCATGATACTGTGTTGATGCATGGCGGGAGTCAGGATGACGAGTTGGTTTTTGAAAGTCCAATTGGAAAATAAGAAAAAAATGTGAAAAACGACCTGATATAAGTTATCAAGAAAGAATGTTTTAAATGTACCCATACATGAATAATTCGAATAATTTAAGTTGAAGTTACTGTTAATAAATAAGTGAAAAGCGCAGCATCTAAGTGGTAATGCTTATTGGGTTGTAAACATCATACACGAGGACGTGTGCCTGTCAGGAAGGCCGTGTCGGAGTTCTTGGAATAATTTAAATTATAGAAGCCGTTGCTTTTTGGCGGGTATCAAAGCTGATTTCATAATTCCTAGAAGGCGACCTATTCCTAGAATACAAAGTATTAGTTCTCTCTTGAGAGCGAGAGCGCAATATTAGCGAGACGGTGTTGCCAGACCTTCTGAAATGGCAAAACCGTCGAGTGTGGCCCGGTTGCGCAAGAGCGAGAAAGGAGTTGAGTGAGAGGGAAGATGAGCTCGGAGCGAGAGGCGTTCTGGTTGCACAGGCACTTCGATTTGAACTCTTGCCGCGATCGGGAATCACTTCGCGAATTCAAATGAATAACCCGGAGAATGGCTGTTCTCCGATAAATATATCATTCATTTTTGGATTTTTGAAACTTTTTATATTTTTTAAATACCACATTTCCTTTCCCTTTCCACCCTTGTGAGGGGATGGCCTGCCGCCATCTATTGCCAGGTGTTGGAACTTCAAAAATTGCATAAAGTGCACCGAGAAAAAGCTTAGGCAGAAAATTTTCCAGTGGCAACAAACGTTTTTCCGGGGAGGCAGGAAAAACTAAAAAGCTGCGACTGCATTAAAAAGCTTTCGAAAATGCACTTCGGTTGCATGTCGTGGCTAAAAGCTCTTCGAAATAGTTGCAACTATTAGATAGACATTGCAAACTATAGACAACCCTGCAATTAGAGAGAGAGTTTGCCGACGAAGAGATTTAAACACAAAGGAGAGAGCTTTCTTCATCTTTCGGCAGGTGAAAAGCCACAAGTTGCCGAAAGTAAGTGCAACAGTTGCAGCGGCATAGAGTAACTGCCTAACAGCTGTTCAAAATTGAGGGGGAAACACAAACCAATGTTAAAAAAATGTATTTCAGACCGAGCAAGAAATACAACATGCTTAAGTTTCTTAAAATTTGAAAAGCAAAGCAGCAATCGTATTAAGAATTCATTAGGTTATGAATAAAAACTTGCATTATCTTAAATATAAAGAAAATACTTAGTGGTAATGAAAATTTCTTAATGATTTCTTTTTTAATTTAATATAATAAAGGTTCATTGTTTTAACCTTACTTTACATATTTTTTTTAAAAGATCAATCATGTGAGAACAAACCATTTATATCTAATTTCTGTTTTATGTTGAACTTTTTCAATTATTCTGCTAATTTTTCTTCGACTTTCAGAGAATATGGTTACAGTGTTGCATTGACCTTCATTCTCTACCGGTGCAGTGCAGCCACATCCTGCACCAAGGACAGCCAGGATCCGACATTGAGCTGCCCTTGATCGCAAGTAACCTTCAGCGCCGGCGAGAGCTTTCGCCCTCGGAATGCAAACTGAAAAATGTGAGCAAATAAAGGCGGAAGGGGACGGCAAGGACATGGGCAGCGAGTCCTTGCCCAGGGGTAATTGGCTGGGGGACCGACGCGTAGGCAAAGGTAAGCCCTGGCTTAATTGCCAGTTAATTGACTTTGAGTGGCATTAACCGACATCCGAGAGTGACTTACATTTAATTGGGCCTAACAGACGAAACACAGGGCATTTTGGTACATACCTGCAAGAAAAGAAAGAGAAGACGAGATTAATTATAAATATTAAATGTGGGTCAGCTTATGGGGCGTCAGTGGGTTGTCTTCAGTTCGGTCCTCTAAGATTTGCAGACATCGTGTCGAGAGTTCCCCAACTTTTATTCGTTTGTTTTGCACATTTTTCCTCATTTCTGTGCCCGGTTTTTGTGTTTTTATTGCGCAAAGCGCACATGCCAACGACCTTGACCATCACAATTTATTTTCATTTTACTTTTTGCCTCCCTCTCTCGCCTGTGTGTGTGAGTGAGAGTGTGGAGCAAGTGACACACATTACGTAGGTCCCCATTTAGTCGCTTACACAAGACCTCAGGCAAGGCCAGCCTCACCCCAGCCACCCCCTGCCCACCCGGCATTTCCCTATCTTTCTCTCTCTCTGCCCCTT